CAACTATAAGATACCATCTCATCCCAGTTAGAATAGCAAAATTTAATATAACAGCAAGCAACAAATGCTGGCAAGGATGTAGAGAAACTGGAACCCTTATTCACTGTTGGTGGGAGTGTAAAATGGTGCAACCATTGTGGAAAGCGGTACGGCGCTTTCTGAAAAAGTTGCAAATAGAGATACCATTTGACTCAGCAATTCCACTACTGGGAATATAGCCCGAAGAGACCATAACTGTCATCCAAGCAGATATATGCACACCCATGTTTATCGCAGCTTTGTTTTCAATAGCAAAGAGCTGGAAACAACCTAAGTGCCCATCAACAAACGAACGGATAGAGAAGCTGTGGTATATTCACACAATGGAATGCTATGCCGCATTGAAAAACAAGGAACTCATGCAATATTATTCAAAATGGGTGAGCCTGGAGGACATTATGTTGAGTGAAACATCTCAGTCACAAAGGGACAAATACTGCATGATGCCACTGTTGTAGAATGGGTCTGACATCAGGGTTGGTGTAAGACTGAAAAAAAAACTAGATAAATTATGTATACTGTATTGAAACTGATGAGGGAAAGAACAGACTAGAGGCAATATATGATTATTATGGTTAGCACAGGAGTCTAGAATTAAGGTTGCATAGAGAAGTGTATGGGGGGGGAAGGGTTGGGCGAATTGTATACCAATGAAGGAATTTATTTTTCTCTTTCTTTTCAAAGAGAGGCATGAACTGGAGGGGAGGGGTAGGCAGGGAGAAAAGTGCAGCAATGAATGAATGGAAATCCAAAATCTCTGTAAATGTTCATTAAAACTAAACCCAAACCAAAACAAAACAAAACAAAAACAAAACAGGGTATCAGAGCTCCCTCTAAGACCACCCTTCTAAGAAGTGCTACACAGTATCTGTCCATTTGAGTCTGATAAAAATTTATGCATCTTATTCCAGGATGTTCCATGTTTCATGGGTACAATCACAAAATACTTGGTACATTTTTTTAAAACACAGAGGCCTACTCATCATTAATGTTATCAGAAAAACAAGTGTCAACGACTAGGAAAAGAGCATAAAGTCACAGGTCCTCACGGGAGTGGAGCAGTTGGTGTTCCTACCCGTTAGTAGAGAAAGTTCCAGAGAGCAACTGGCCGGCGGGGGAGGGGGACGCTGTCAGTGTGCGTGCAAGGGGAGCCTCACAGGGCTGGTGGAAGGGGGCCTGGGGGGTCCTCACAGGGGACAGTGTGGTTGAAGGGGGCCTGGGGGGTCCTCACAGGGGACAGTGTGGTGGAAG